GAATTTAATCTAATAGGGACTGTTTTAAAAGTTAAGCACTGATTAAACATTAACACATTGGTGCAGTATGGAGAAAGAATCAATACGCCAACAATAGCTTTTTTGTATTATTGTATCTTTAGGATATAAAATGATGATCTGACTTGTATGACGCATGAGTATATTTGTATGAACAGGAGTAAAGAAACAACAGAACATCAAACTGACTCTTTCCAAAAAAGGTTTCAGTTCATACCAAAATATTAAGCAGTATTTATGTAAAACCTTTAGAGCTCCTGTTATTAGATATTTAATGGAAATCTAAATGGAAAAGTACAAAAAACTGATACAAAAAAAAAATTACATTTATGAGCTTCAAAATGTTGATATAACTGCCGGCTGCCTGAAAAGCGGGCAGTTACAAAACAGTTCTGAAAAAAGTTTTGTTAACTTATTCAGGTTTAAAGTGTAAGAAAAACTGGATGCCCCTGCTTCAGCTAATTGACATAAGAGAGTTCATAATTAAACAAAAGTCAAGAGACTATAATAAAAAAAAAAATAAAACAATTACAGAAGAGTTCCACAACTAAAACAACAAAATGGGTGAATCAAACAGTCAAACTTAAAATGTAACCACAAAGCCCCAAATTTCTGCTTGTTCCATTCTCTATTGCCAAGTGTACAATCATCATACAACACAAAATAAAAATGTAAAACAAAATTCAATAGCATGCAATCTTAAAGATTTTTAAAAAGTTATTCTGACATGATATTCATTTTAACCAGTGTAATTAAAATAACCTGAATAGAGTTTTTAAAGCAGGGTACTTCATATCTTTAAAAAAAAACATCCAATATGGATTCAAAGTGAGAGAAAATACAATAAAAGCATAAAGAAACTGCTAGATAGTTTTTACCTTATTTTAGAAAACAAGTATGATACAGTGGTCCTATTCGCTCTCTTCTGCTTTATCTGGCACCGTGTTGCAAGGGCACCCAGATTTCCCTCTCCCAGACCCTCCAGCTCTGCTGGGGGAACCCTGTAGATTGACAAATCTACAGATTGACAATTCTAGCACAACTGGAAAATCGCCCCAAAAAAGGGAGACTCTAAGGCCAAACTCTGTGGCAGACATCAGTATTAAGGGATGCTGTCAAACTTAAGTCTGATTTGCATCTTTATTCAACCCTCTTTAATTTGATACCCAAGTCACATAATCACTACATCAATCTATATGCTTCCTATTTAAAATCGATCCTCAGCTATAAATAACTGATTTCCATGAACAAATGATCCCTTTAATCAGTGAAGTCTGACCAATAGAGGGCACCAGGGCGCTGCCCCACCCACCCAAAACAAAAAAGAAATTACATTATTACATTATAAAATTTAAATATTTTGAAATATATGTTTTTAGATGTGCAAGATGAACATTTAATCTTTAATGACGAATAAAGCTGTTTAATTTGTCATCAGATTGGTGATGTAATTCCACCCTGGGGATCAAAATCTTTGCCCTTTCTCACCACGGTTCTTTGAAAAAGGCAGAGGGTCGTAAAAGAAAAAGTGTCTACGAAGTGTATGAGAAGATAAGAAAGGCCACAGAAGAGGCAGATATGTCCTGGAATCCTTTGCGTGTAGAGCAATGTGCGTCCATATTGGACCATGCAAAACACAGATTTGCCTTCACAAAGCCGCAGAAGGTAGTCTAGTAAACTAGCCCCACCCGCCAGCGGCCAAAACCATTTATGCCTGTGAGTTTGGTTTAGCCTCAAGCAATGCCCCAGGCCCTAGAACTGGCGGGCAAATAAAATGCAAAGATGTGTTTTGAATTTTTGGATGCAAAGCGGGCGGTTTTTTGAGGGCGTGACGACAAAGCTGCGCGACGCTGGAGAAAGCTCAACAAGGAAGATGGCAACAACTATTGAACAGTTCTCGTTTGATTAAGCTTTGGAATTCATTTTGGAATAGACTTGGGGTATTCATGGAAACTTGAGCAGGGAGAGGCTCTACGCTCATTCATTTTTAAGAAGGAGGTATTCGCCGTTTTACTGACAGGCTGTTTGTTTACACTCCCCCACCAGCTCTCTGTCGCACTTACTACGTCACAGTCAGTTGTTCTCATTGGTCAGAGCGTTGACCAATAGGCACAGACATTGTTTGAGAAACAACTGGTTGTTCTCATCAACAATCTTACGATGTCTCATTCTTTGGGGCCAGACTAAATTACATATTTAATCTCACATTTAGTCTGGTTTATCAGGCTACTCAGAAGGGCAACATTTATGTACAAAGAGTAAACCTAATAATAATTATAATAATAATTGAACTTTATTCATCTCACATTGGAGAAGTTTACCTCTGCATTTAACCCATCCCCTTGGGGAGCAGTGGGCTGCCATCGTGCGGCGCCCGGGGAGCAATCAGAGATTAAGCGTATTGCTCATAGAGTAGCAGTCTGTGGGAGAGGGGCTTGAACTCAGAACCTCAGGAATCCAAGCTCCATGCCCTAACCACTAAGCACCACTCCCCTGTATATAAAATGTTTTTGTGTTTATAAAGTGTTTTTATCTTGTTGGCATTCATATAAATATACTGGTGTGATAAGTGTATGTTTGATTGGTTTTTGGTATATGTCTATTTTGAATTTACAGCCCCTCCTGCAGAAAACTCCACCAACCGCCACTGCCTATAGTGACACGTGGTGGGGGTTTCTTTTGGAAAGACAGGGCCCTCAATGTTGATCAGGATAAAGAGACTAAACATACTACAAAACAACAAAACAAGCTTCAAATGTGTTAGAAATGCTAATTCAATTGACCAAATCTTTGGTGTACAACTTTAAAAAAAAAAAACACGAATTATTTGCACACAAAAAAAAAATGAAGGTTGAGGTTTATGACTTCCTCTAAATTTTTTTTCCCCCGAGGTTTCTGTAATTTCCTGTTGCATCCACACGTCAAGCCAGCAGGTGGCGATAATAGGAGAATGTACTGGTTTCCGGTTTGCTAGAAGCGTCGAGTGAAAGCCCGTCATCAAACTGCGACGCAGACGCACTGCAGTGGTGAGCGCCACACCTTTGCTGTATAATAATACACGTTTGTTATTTTTAGAGCTTTAAGTTTATAGTATTAGCGAACCTTTTGAAGCTTTGTGTTTTAATGAAGTTTACAGCAGTAACCTATTTCATTTATTTAACGAGTAAAATAAATCTATTATAGTCCTGCAGCGAAAGACGAACTGAGCTAACCTTAGCGCCTGCACTATTATCTCGTATTTATTTTATTTCTCCTTCATTGCATGTTATTCGACTACTTGGACTTGTATTTAATTTTTATATATTATAGATATTTTGTAATACAGTGTTTAGATAAACCAAATACAGTCAGCGCTGACATATTATTTCCAGCAGAGCTACTTTAGCTCTCGCGCTATTCCACCTCATGTGATAACATTGTGTTATAGTTTTATTTCTTTGCTCCGTTCAGTTTCACAGTACTGTTCAAAGCTAATAATAGTGCACTATCCTTCGCAAATTATCTTTTATTTGAACGAGATCTATCTATATATCAATTAAACTGTCTATTTAGTAATCTATCTATTTATCTATCTATCTATTTATCTATCTATTTATCTATCTGTTTATCTATTTATCTATCTGTTTGTCTATTAATATATCTAATCTATCTAAGTATTAATTAGTCTATTTAATCTATGAATGAATGACAGTTATGACATGCCTGAAAATGTTATCACAATATATTAGTATATCCAACATTATATAAATATTTGCTTGAAAGAAACATAAAACCTGGAATATCATGCAGTAATCCTAGACTGTAATCTATATTGAAATGTGGGAAGTATTTCAAATTATTGTCAAACCCTTTCTGTTTTTTTTTGTGTGTGTGTGTGTGTGTGTGTGTGTGTGTGTGTGTGTGTGTGTGTGTGTATATGTATATTTACGGCTGTGTGTGTAATGTTAATTCTTTAATCAGTAGTCATCTCTGTTTTATTTTGTCTGCAGCAACTTTAATGCATTATGAGTTTGTTTGGAACAACCTCCGGTTTTGGAACAGGGGGGACAGGTGTTTTTGGAAGCACCACAGCTGACAGTCATAATCCCATGAAGGTAAATTAAAATGTACATGGAAAAGGTTCAGTTCTGTCTTTTTGGGTCCGTGTTTCTCTTTAGCATTTCACACCTCTGGGTTTTTACAGGATGTGGAAGTGACCTCTCCTCCAGATGACAGCATTAGCTGCTTGGCTTTCAGTCCTCCAACCATGCCAGGAAACTTTCTTATTGCAGGATCCTGGGCAAATGATGTAAGTTATTTGTCACGTCTTCATTTTAAGATTTAAAGTGACCATTAAAACAAAAAAGTACAGTAGGTAGTGTTGCTCCAATCAGAATTTTTCAGTGATTCCTGATCCACAAAATGCATTAGATATTGGCATCTGTTGCAAAATAATACTGAGAATGAAGAAGAAAAAATCCATGTTTATTCAATGATGACGGTGGGTCTTACTTGAACTTTTGCGATTTCTGAAAGACTGTAAAAAATTTTTTAGAGCCAACTTAGATGATGTATAAAAATTGTCTTAATTTTCTTGTAAAACTAGGGCTGGGCAATATGGTTAAAAAATAAATTGTGCAAAGTAACAAATAATTAGCAAACAATAGCTGTATTGTAAAAAAAAAAAAAATGTTAACTTAAATATTCATAACTTTAAACTTGTGCAGGTAACACAAATGTTCACCCAAAAATAATTGTACTTTTATCAGTAAAAAATTTACACATTTATATTCAGTAGAAGTGCAAGAAAACAGAGCTTCATTTGCTGAAATATGCAATTTATGGAAAAGTCAATAACTTGTATTTATCTCTGGTAAGTAGGTGGTATGTAAACAGCAGCTGTTGAGAGCCCAGTTCATGTCGATATAGTAAGCAGTTAAAGTCATCTTTGGCTGAAGTGATCGACTGGACCAAAGGTCTTTAGTAGTTGCAAAACACAAAGCAGAGTCTAACTCTTCACAGAGCGCTTGTAGTGTTGTGACTCGGCGGGTCATAGTTTGGATCACAAACTTTTAGCATGTGAAGAAAGCCAGGCTTTTCTACAGTGTAAATGGCACCATGTCCATCTCTATGTGAACATCTACAGCATTGATCATCTGCTTCCACCACAAACTACGCTTTTTGTACGGCACCGTCTTAAAAAATGAGGCGACCAGGGTCTGTTGTCCTTGTGATTCTGTTTGTCCTTGCCCGTGCTGCCAACGCTGCAATCCCGTAGCTGCGAGTGCTGCTCCCATTCTGTGGAGTGCCTTTGTTGGAGATGCTGAAACAAGTTAGTTGTGCTTGAACACTACTGCACTACTAATACTACTCCACATCGGCCTTGTCTAAGCCGAACCACTTCCAAATAAACAACGGAACACAGGTCCCCTTTTCTCGGTACCAATCTCTTCAGATTGAGCAGTGCCCATGGCGCGAGTAAACAGTGCAGCATGATATTGAGCGGAAGGAGGCAAGAGTCGGCAAGTAAAAAATGCAGAAGAGACTTACTCGTGGACTTTTAAAAACTTGAATTAATCAAATTATTTCCATTTATTGCCCAGCCCTATGTAAAACCATATGCATTCAAAGTAGGGCTGGGCGATAAACTGGATTTTTACTGTTACTGTCATTCATTTTGATAACGGCGCAAGTTTCCACATGTGGGTAAATTCTATAAATAAGTCGGTAAATAATTCTGCCGCTTTTCCTGTGTGCCCTGGTGGCTGGCATTTTCTTCCCCTTTAAGACTCTGCAGCATGTGGGGAATGACATGACTCCACCGTTCCAGTAAGAAGCGTAAACAGAGAGAACAGTGGATGACAGTTATGAAGAAGCATCTAACACAGCTGTAAGCGAGATTACATCAGTTAATCCTGTGAAGCCTGGCAAGAGCTGAGATGAAGCTTAGCATGCAGAGAAGTTGAGAGAGTGTTGTCAGAGTTGAGCGCGCGGCAGATCGTTTCGTGTGCGAGTTTAAATGATGCACATTGTGCTTGCTCTGCACACTCAGTTCGGTGGCATCAAAATTGCTCCACAGATGATGAGCAAAAGAAGTTGCAGTTTCTCTGAAAACTTTAGGGACTACCCAAAGTAATACATCCAACCTCCATCCCCTACAGCAAAGCTGCGCTGTTGCAAAGGTAATGGAGCCATGGCGAATGGCTCCATTACCTTTGCGCAAAAATGTTTACGAGAGAGGAAATGTTTTTCTTCTGTTCAATGAGACATTGTTGAATGAATAAACCTGAATGGGTGCAAGACTTTAATATTCATAATATGTAATGTTATTAATTCAATAACTACATTATAAATAGACCAGTTGCATTTCAGTTGCATTGCCGGCGCATTTATGGTTAACGAGGTAAAACTGTTAAATTTATCCTGATATTGATTTGAGGTCATATCTCCCTCAGACTCCCTTCAGACTCTCATAAACTAGATTGTATTGGATGACATTGGCTGTTAGATGCAGCATAAACTGTTTTTAAAGAGATGTTTAAGTAAAAAAGTTGTTAAAACAAAGTTGTGTAGTTGTAAAAGCATCTTTTACAATGATTACTACTTTAAAATAAGTTTTATTTATCGTAAGTCATGTTTCCAGTGTGACACTCACGGACATCATGTGTTTTCCTGATATCCTACAGCCCTATTTCAGTTTCAGTTCTATAATTAGCATAGTTTGCATTTTAGTTTAATGGTTAATATAGAATAAAGGAAATAGTTAATGGGATACTGAAAGTGAGCACAAGAAATGTGCTAAATATGTCTAGAAATGTCATCTCACAGTTCCTTTTTTTTATTTTTCTATTTTATTATTATTCACCAATCAGGAATCAAAGTGAAAGTTTACAAATTTGGGGTAAAAGCAGATTTGTCTTGTCGTCTACAACAATAATTAATAGATTCACAAGAATGGTGAATGAGGACAAAATGGTCAAAGCTTAATTTGAGGGAGTTTCAATGAACAAGTTTAACCAAAGTGGTATCAAAACCAGCTCAGTACACTGTTGCAGCTTTTTGTTGTTCATGTTGTTCAAGCATTTTCTTCATGTAGCTTTCATATTAACTACAGGAAGCACCTTTAACCTTTTACTAAATACCTCGTCTAAATTGTGTAGAGGTGCTACAGAACATCAATATGTTTCCTACTAATCCGTCCTCTACACAGAATGTAGCTTTGTTAACATAAATAAGTCATGTCCTGCTTACGTGTACGTCTTGTTTGGAAAAGCTCACATTATTTACAGTTCAGATCTGTTGTGATGATTTAGGTCCGATGTTGGGAGGTGCAGGACAACGGACAGACCGTCCCTAAAGCCCAGCAGATGCACACAGGTCCGGTGCTGGATGTCTGCTGGAGCGATGTAGGTGGCATCTTAGCAAACCACTTATTAAATACCTGTTGTAAAGCTATAGTAAGGTCATGTTTTTATCTTCCAGGATGGAAGTAAAGTGTTCACTGCTTCGTGTGACAAGACGGCTAAGATGTGGGATCTGAACAGCAATCAAGCAATGCAGATTGCACAGGTTGGATGAGATGCTCCTGGGTCAGCTGTGTGATCAAGAATTAAGCAGATTTATTTTACACTTTCTCCTTTCTCCTCAAAGCATGAAGGTCCCATTAAATCAATCCACTGGATAAAAGCTCCAAACTACAGCTGTGTGATGACTGGCAGCTGGGATAAAACTCTGAAGGTATGCCAATTTTTTAAAAACATATTTATTCTTTGCATCCATGGGAAAGATAAATCAAAAAGGTTGCTTGAGGCAGACCTATCAGAACGTGGAACATTTTGATCGTTGATGTTTTTCTCCATTTAGTTTTGGGACACCCGCTCTCCCAACCCCATGATGTCCCTGCAGATGCCTGAGAGATGCTACTGCGCCGATGTTGTAAGTCCGACATAACCACCATCAGATCATTTTTTAAATCTGCTGGGGAGATAACTGGTGCACTTTTTTGTATGAAGGTGTACCCCATGGCAGTGGTAGCCACAGCTGAAAGAGGCCTTATAGTGTACCAGTTAGAGAACCAACCCTCTGAGTTTCGCAGAATAGACTCCCCTCTCAAACATCAGGTATGACGTCCCTCAGAAATCACTTTCTGAGTTTTAGAAATTTTGCATAATTCAAAAGCATTTATATATAACCCTGATTTGTTGTTTGTTTTTATTTTGTCTTGTCAGCACCGCTGTGTTGCCATATTTAAGGACAAGCAGAACAAGCCAACAGGTTTTGCACTGGGAAGCATTGAGGGCAGAGTGGCGATCCACTACATCAATCCCCCAAACCCGTGAGTGGATTCAAAGTCTCCTCACTGAAATATAAATTATACATGTACGAAATGCAAATCGTGCATGTAAAATGCATGATCGATATACATTTCTTCTCCTCTGATCTTTGTTTAGAGCCAAAGATAACTTCACCTTCAAGTGCCACAGGTCCAATGGAACCAACACAACCACTCCACAGGACATTTATGCTGTAAGTTGACCCTCAATTTACAATGCTGTTAAGGGAAGGTCCCTTTTAAAAAAATAGATGTTTATGTTAAAACAATTTGATACGCGTCAAACATGCATCTGGATAGGGTTTGCTTAATTCTTTTTTAGTCTAAAATTTATTTTTTCGTACTGAGCACTATCAGCAGCCGTTAACCTTGTTGTACGCTGTCTCCATCTGCTGGCAGTACGAAGTCACTCATCCATCAACTTGAACCAGCTCCTTCCTCAGTTCACTAACAAATGGAGAAAACAAAGTGTAATTCACAGAAAAACAGCCTAATAAGCCAACTTTAATGCCTTTTTTTTTACAATCATTGAGCTGCTGGCTTAGAAATGTGTTACAGTCCTCATATTATTCTATATTTGAAAACAAAATATTAACAAGAAGGCCTTCCGGAGCATGTTTTTGCTGTTTGTGCAGGAATATTCTTCTCAGATTAGGCAGTAAGCATTTACCAATAACCTCCTCATCCAGCCCTGGTTGAGAAGCCTGCTTGGGAACACCCTTTTTGTGAAGCACTCCTCTTTGAAATGCTTTAGGTTTAGCTGTTAGATTTTTATTACAAATAAAATCCGTTCTTTGAGTCTTACCGTTTTGCCATTAACAGAGCAGGGGCCATGTCTGTTTGGATGCTTGTTGTTGGTGAGCAGAGATATGGTGCCATCTAGAGGGCCGGCTTAGATGGGGGAAGAGTTTTATTTCCCCAAATTACCTCATAAAGGAAGGATTTTGAAACAGAGCATTTTGAGCACATTAAATAAGAGGAGGAAAAAGGATGGAGCAATGGGGAAACATTTTTTTTTATTTGTGAACCTCATATAGAGGCTTCAGGACACATAAGACTGTTAAAACAATGTTTATAAAGTGTATTTTGCATAATATGTAACCTTTAAGTCATAATATGTGACTTGCCCACTTGTAAACTCTATGCACAGATTTCAAACATTTTCTTTCTGGCCAACTTACAAAACACAATTTGGCAATAAATCAAGCAAAAAATAATAATGACCCTGCACATGAACAAGAACACTTAAACAACATAAATATGGTGGTGGAAGAAGCATGCTGCGGGATTTTATTCTGCAGGGCAGTAAAGCTGTTCAGATCTGATGGAACAACATATATAATTACTGAGTAAACCTGAAGCCTGCGAAACTTAAAAATACATGATAGCTTGGATTATTGACTATAAGCATACAGTAATATTAAGATTTTATAGGTTTAGACTAAAACATATATTTGTGTAGTTGCTAATCTGTGGTAAGAGATGTTTATTGATATAAACAGACATATTCCCTTCTGCCTGTCAGCTGGTTTGCAAAAATCAATGTGCAAAAACTTTAATCTGAATGCGTGTTTACAGCTTATAGAGAAACATCCAGTAGGAGTTGCAGCTTTAACTGCTATAGAGGGGAGTTCTGCAGTGCTGACTGAAAAGAAATGCACACAAGCCTATTCCGATTCATATGTTCTCAACCATTAAAATTTTTTTTAATATTTTTTCCTTCCACTTTACAGTTTGTAACATCAAATCTTAATACAGTAAAATGTTTTTATTTTTACTAGACTTCATATGAACAGCTTTTTGAATGTTATTCCACTTTAACCTTCCTCAACAACTAGCCTTTCTGTCTTTTGATTTTTATTGTCAGGTCAATGCCATCTCCTTCCATCCTGTGCATGGCACATTGGCCACTGTGGGCTCAGACGGACGCTTCAGCTTCTGGGACAAAGACGCCCGCACCAAGCTGAAGACCTCCGAGCAGCTTGACCAGCCCATCACGGCTTGCTGCTTCAACAACAATGGCAACATCTTTGCATACGCTTCAAGCTACGACTGGTCAAAGGTAAAAACATCACAACAGTAGTTCCCCCCATAGATGTTTTATTCTATAAAAAAAAAAAATCCTGATCTTTTAGGGCCATGAGTACTACAACCCCCAGAAAAAGAACTACATCTTTCTGAGGAACGCTGCTGAAGAGCTGAAGCCTCGGAACAAGAAATGGTGAGAGATGACAGCCGTCTGTTACCGTGGAGACCGCGGTCAATGAATGGGGGCTTTCCCATTTCCTGATTGCTCCTGTGGCTCTGACTGTGGGCTCTCAAGGGCATGCATGAATGTGGGCAGTAAGGATACAGATGTGATGTGAATCCTCTTGTCAGCCTGTTTGAATATTGCACTTTATTTATGGTATGTTTTTAGTGTGTGCACAGAAAACCTGTGTACTCATACAAACAGGATTGTAAAGCATGGAGCCTCTGTCTTAGCAATCGTGTCCAGCCTGTAAGCATCAGCTGTATAGTTGTTTGAAGAGGTACTTGCAGAATAGCTATTTTTAATATTTAGTTAAAAATGGGGAAAAGTCATATTATTACTGAAATCAAGCGTACTTTTTGATTGTAGAACAGTTGTTTTTCTTCTTTATTCTCTGTTCAGAAATAAACAAGACGTAAAACAAACTTGCTGCTCTGTCACTGACTGCTGCTTCCTGTCTCCAGATTCATCGTGCCAATCGCACCTCTTGTGGGGAATTGCGGGAGACCTGCTGCTTTAGTGTGCGTGTATGCGTTCAAGACTTACCCCCTTCCTTGCGACAGAAGTCTGGACCAATGCTGTGGCTTTCTGGTGCCGTGCATGGACCAATCAGAGGGGGCCAACCCATGTTGATGTTGCATGATAGTTGGCCTTTGAGGTCCTCATGGAGGGGGGGTGGGTTAATATGTTATTGATATTAATTTCTCTTTCCTATTTGCCAGGTTCAAAGTATCAAGGTTGTACCTTTTTTTCCCCCCTTTTTTATTTTCACAACTTCAAATATTTTCCATTTTCTTGTAACTTGTTACTTATTGTTTCATTAAAGATAAAGATGTAAAATAAATAAGTGCGCACTGTTAGATGTGAACATGTGTTTTCGTTTTGATGCAGAAATTTAGAAATGACTAAAAAAAAAAAAAAACTGTATATTCTTTGTTCCGAAATCAGAGAGCTGTGGTATCAGTTTTAAGCTCCTCTGCCTGTATCACTCACAGTTAACCAACAGGAGGAGCATGTCTTCAAACAATCGACTCTTTCAGCTGCTGGTTGCAGACACAACTAAGACAAATGAGATCAAAGGTGCGTTATCAGACTCCCGTCCAGTTCTCCCTTGGTAGGGGGATTTCAAGAGGATATGAATGAGGTCGTTGGGGATACTACAAAAGCAATGTGTGAAGAGAGGTCCATATCTTAGAGCAAAAGGTGGGAGTTAAGTGTCTTTTTATAGAGGTCATTAGAGTGTCGCCTCACTGTCAAACCTGACCCTTGGTACCTAACAGTAGACCTCCAAGGCAATGTTGGCGGGAAGGTATGAAGCAGCTTAATTTAAACCTCCTTGCTAAGATTTCAAGCAATAACATTTACCTCAGATGCCAGCTAGCTTCTGAGTTGAGCAGTCTACTGATTTTAAGGCCTGAATATTTTTCTTGTAGATCTTAAATTAGCTATTTCTATCATAAGACTCTTAAATTTGGCAACAAAAAAAAAAATATCAGGGTTGTATTAAAATTATATTTCATTTGAGAGAGAAAAAAATCTCATTTCCAGACTTGTAATAGTTGATTTGGAAGTGCACATTTATGTTCATGTGGCTGTATTTTATGTGTGAAGAAGGCTATTTTTTTTTGTGCGGCAGTTATGTGATCCGAGTTAAAGTCTTGTTAGGATGGGAAGGTGACATTGCAGAAGTTGATCATTCAAAGGGAACAGAAAACCAGACATTCCAGTGATTTGCAAAGTAAGCTAGCAGAATCTAGGATCCAGATTGATCACTTTCAAACAAATTAAAGTAACTTTAAAAATATGTTTTAAGGGGAGTGACAGCCTAGTGGTTAGGGCATAGGGCTTTAAATCCTGAGGTTGTGAGTGTGAAACCCAATCCCACAGACTGCGACTCTGGGTCTCTAAGCAAGACCCTTACCTGATTGTTCCTTGGGCGCTCCACGATGGCAGCCCGCTGCTCCCCAAAGGGGTGGGTAAATGCAGAGGTATATTTCTCTAATGAGAATAAAGTACAAATATTACATCTGAGTTCAAACTTAGAAAGCTAAGGCAGCTCAGAGTGCCTTCATCTATCTGTTTATTGGTCTCATGCTTTCTGACAGAGCAGCTGAGGAGGGAACACCCTTCTCGCTCCCATCCTCTCCATCCTCAACAACACTTGATGGGGAACCACTTCAGCTGAAGTTAGTAGAGGGATTCATCCCCAGTTAACCTAAGGTGATCAAGCAGAGACTCCTTTCTACGGCAGCTAAAGAACAACAACCTTCCATAGAGTCTGCTAGTCATCTACTACACACTCTTTTTGTTTCTTTGTTCATGTATGATTCATCTTCAAAGCAGAATAGGTTGAAACTGCAACTTCCTCTTGTTTTTTTTTTTTTTTTTTGAGTAGAATAAAGTGTCTACACTCCATTTGGATGTCTGAAAATAAAAGCTTGCCTGGCTATCTTGAGGTTTGTGAATAACCTTAGCCTATGTTAAAAAAAAAAAAAAAACATCTACCTTGTGTATTCCCAAAGATGAGAACTCTCTGGTGGAATTCACTTTTATTTAACCCTTATTTTTGTACACATCTAAATTATGTCTTAAGAGGTGTAATTGAAACAATGGCAAACTCGGAACAAACCAATGATAGACACACGCAACTCATAATTGAAAAAACGATCAGAAAAAGGCCCAACTTGGGAATTAACGATTAAATATGGAAGAGGATTAGGGCCACTGAAAAAATTAAAAAAGTTAACTGATTTTTAAACTTTATTTCAGTATAAAATGAGAAAAAAGTCAGAACTCCTACTTTGATCTCAGAATTCTGACTTTGATCTCAGAATTCTGACTTTTTTTCCTCAGAATTCTGACTTAAATCTCTGAATTCTGACAGCTAACAAACATGTTTACATCAAGCCATGTCTGTTTTAGAGACTAAACTAGCTCTCTTGTTTTAATCACCTTCTGCTCTTTCATTAATGAAATATCACCAGGGACCCCTCGGACACATAAAAAAATGCCTAATTGTGTCATTTTCCACCAAAGTGTCACTGGCCCTCCCAAACAGTTCACATCTTTGTCAGTGAAGCTGAGAGCTCCCACATCTCTTCCTTCATGGTGCCCATCTACATTAAGATCCAAAATTCTGAGATTAAAGTCAGAATTCTGAGATTAAAAGTCAGAATTCTGAGAAAAAATTCCGAATTCTAAGATTAAAAGTCAGAATTCTGAGATAAGTATTTATTTATTTATTTATTTTCAGTGGTCCTAATTCTCTTCCGGAATTTAAACACAACAAATTAGCCTTTTCTAAATAACTTTTTATTTTACACGATTCTATTTTGCATATAATCAAAGTTTAGTTATGGGGTTTATCAAGATTTAATAGAATTTGAGCAACATTTTACTTCAATGCTTTGTTTCAAGAAATTTGAACCCTAGCTCCGAGATGGGGTTTACTGATTAAACGGGAAGCTATGGTAAGTTTATTTAATTCAAACCCCTGTTTTGTAGCGTGTCCTACCTTCCCAGTTTCTACCTGCAATGTCATATCTGTCTATATTTCGATAAGGAGAATTAGGTGGTTTAACTTCCGCTCTTAGGTTAAAGCAGTCCACCATGTGGAGCGTTTCTTCAGTACAGTAAACGCTGAAGGGTTTTCTTTGTGCTGAAGAAGACAAGCAGGTGCCAATGGGAGCCGCAGATGGTGAGCACGAGGAGTCCACGCTCATTGGTCAACAGTTCTGTAGGGGGCGGAGTCACACTTCTTCGTATAAATACTCCTCGCACATTGAGGGAATGACAACCTGCTCTGGTGTTGTGGCCGTTGAAGGCGTGAAGCTCGTAAGCCTACAGGTGGTCACAACTTTTACCAGATTATACCGAGAGCTACAATAAAAGCGAGAGGTTAGAGCTCGTTTCTTTTGGATGTCGGGGAACTGTTAAGCGGTTACCTTAGTAAACGTGTGTCTCGCGGTCTTCCTCTCCGGCTCGACCAATGCTCCTGCATCAGTACATGAACGGATCCCTGGAAGTCATGCCGCCGACACCGGTCCAGAAAGACACCACGTTTACCAAAATCTTCGTCGGCGGGCTGCCGTACCACACGACCGACGCTTCGCTCAGGAAATACTTTGAGGCTTTCGGGGACATTGACGAGGCCGTGGTGATAACGGACAGGCAGACCGGTAAATCCAGGGGCTACGGCTTTGTAAGTATAATCACCTCTGACTCTAAAATCACTCTGGATAACACAAAACACGTCCTTTCAACTTATCTCCTTAGGTTCTATTTGTTCGTAAAACTTGTTTATCATATTTCGATCTCTATGAAACCTGTTATTAGTGACATTTTCATATAATTCATACAAACGTCTTATTCTTGACGCCTTCTTGTTTTTTCCCTCCCTTTGTTGCCTGGTTGGTGTTTATTTCTGTTAATGAGGATGAAGGATCACAAAAGTTGATGAGTAACTAAGAAGATTATATTTCAACATATGTCTAATGTCCAACCCCCATCCAATGACCCCAGCCCTGAGTAGCCCCAGATTATTCCTGTGTGTGTGCGTGTGTGTGTGTGTGTGTGTGAGGGAGGCTGATCTCCATGCTTGCTTTATATGGTTATTTCAGAGCAGTGGGAAGGTTGACCTTGCACACACTGTTTTCCATTGTCAGGGACCAGGAGACATGATTTACATGCATTTGAGCTGTTGGAAGAGAGAGGGGTGAAAGTAGTTAAACATGCATGCCTCAGTTTTACGAATAATCTCAGACACTATTGATTTAAAGAGGAAAAAAAGAAAACGATCTACGTCCTGCAACCCAACTGATTGACATCTTGGGTCTATTCATTTTTCCTCTTTTTTTAAATTATCATTTTGAAGGTTTTCATGTGTACTCTGCAAAGCTGTGGTAAAACTTTTAAGCTACCTGGATTTCAGGGAATACTAATAAAACTAGAGGATCTCTATTCTGTCTGATGGACATTGAGATTTCCAACTCACGAGTGCAAAGACATGGATAAATTTGCTTTGTTTATATTTTCTTCTTTCATTTTCTTAGGGCCATTCATTCTGACCGGATGCCAATGCTGACCCTAGTTGATAAACCATTACTTCCCTTAAAGTAACTACTATATATTGCATTAAGGGGATAAGGCTCACATAGTGGCGAGGATATGATGATTACGAAGAATAAAGTAAAGGGAAGAGGAACCTGCAGGTCGTTGCCACAGTTTCATGCTTTCCTGATATTATGCAGCTAATTTAAACCCCCATTTTGTGCCAATTTTCTATTTCCTTCCTTTGTTTTACTCGGTAGTTTGGTATATTGAGGAAACGTGAAGATGAGCCATCCTAAAAAAAAAAAAAAAAAAAAAGACTCTGCTCTAACGTTTAAATGAATTATTTTCTACATTGTTTCGAATTTGACCATATTTTCAGTCGTTTTATGGTCAATCCCCTCGTTTGTTCCAGTTTATGCTTATCAGCTATGTCAGATTATGCACCACAATCAAAACAAAACAACCAACAGACCTCCTATTGTTGGATGCAACCAGACTCGTATAACCACATTTACTTACAGTAGACTATGAGGAGATTCTGAAAATTAGGTTGGAGCCTTGGTTTTCTAGGTATGGTCCAAACACCCCCTCCTCTGTTCGTTTCACTTATAGAAGTGACCATGATACTTGTAGCAGTTTGTGAAGAGGATCTGAGCAGATTTAATCCTGGAAGATCTCTAGAAGATCATTTGGAGACATGATGTTATGGAACCATATGATCCGATTGCTGTGTTCCTTTCATCCCCTGCTTCCTCCAATCACGCATGATCCCCGTGCTAACAGACCTATGAGCCCCGTGGAGGTA